AGAGTGATATATATATATATGTATATAAGTAGGTTTATAAACCTCATTAACTATATCTCTAAGATAAACCCAATGGTTGAAAAACAACTTAGTTCTTCCAACAATAGGCATATCATGTATCCACCATATTTTTTTCCACTGTTAAAAATCCACTACAAATTCGGTTAATTTTCCCCCCTTCGGTGGGACATGAGCCATCCCACCTCTGAGGTCGCTCGGCGTTTCCAAGGTTGAAGGCTGGGGCTGTCAGATATGGCAGGAACGAAAAATTGGAGGAAAATCATCCCCGCCGGCTTGAACTGATCAGTGAAATATGATGAATGTTTCGAGGTTCTGGACATATGGTAGTAAATGGGCTGTGAAGGCTTTGACCCATCCGCAAATTGATATATATATATATATATAATCTGAAGCACGCATGGATTTTTTTTCCTTCAGAGGATGTAGAGGATCTATTTTTGGGATTGAATCACAGCCACAAGGCTTCGACCTGCCCATTAAATAAGGGCAACAACAGGGGAATATTCCGAATCTCGTCAACAAGAATGGTAGAAATCAGGTTTTTATCAAATTTCCAGCGACCTCAAAACCACGTCGCTGACCCAAATGATGGTTTTTTTCGGGAATTCATCCAAACATTGCTTACCCTCTGGTAAACTAACATAGCTATTGAAAATGACCATTTATAGTGGATTTTCCCATTAAACATGGTGATTCTCCATAGTTTTTTGTATGTTTACCAGAGGGTAAAACATACATCAAGTTGAGGAAATGGTGAACTTTTTGCAATTTCCGGCTTTGTTGGTGTTTTGATTTTAAAACACCATCAAGGTACTCGAGATGTAACTTTTCTTGCCAGCACGTGAACCGGTGAACAAGCTGACAGGAATCTGAGTCGCAACATTTAGTTGCATTTGTCATGAAGGGAGAAGCCTTCTGGTGTACAAAGTTTGGGATATGTCCAAAACCAGGGGCGAGTTCACGAAGAAATGAAAACCCAGCGCAACATCCGTTTTTGGACACATCCACTGGTGATTTGCTCAACATCCACTGGTTTCGGGATGTTCCTTTGTCCATGAGATTCGCACTTAAATTGTTTGTTCGAAAAACCATTGAGTCGTTGAGCAAATCTGTGCCCAATGAACCAGTGAGCAGTGGCAAAACATCCCACCCCAAGTGCCCTCCTCCGATGCTGTGAATTGCGGTTTGGGTTTGTGGATTTGGTGGCTCAACAGATGATGAATGATGGATTTTACATAGGTTCTGCGTTGTATACCCCCACTTCTGGCCACTAGGAAATATGGTCCCCAAATGACGACTACCCTATTCCATAACGGATCAATCACCCTTTCTGTAGCCATCAGCTCTTGGGGTAAGCCCCAGCCACTGCTTCAGTGCCTTTTCCTCGTTCATTTGGCGCAGCTCTTTCTGAAATGTCGCCGATGAGCATCATGGTGTGAACCATATACAGTGAGCACAATAGCACCGTAACTATCTGTAACTCATACCAATTTCGCCCTTCGGCTTGGATCTTGACGCTGGTGATGGCTGGCGGAAAAGAAGGTTGCGCCGTTGCGGGGCTTCTTGATTGCTGAATCTACGATTTAGATCTATTTAGGGAATCTACTGGGAATACTTTACGGTTTGGGCCATCTTACTGACTTAAGCAAATCCAAGTAAATTATGACATTCCAAACATAGACATATGGTGATTCAACTTCCAACTACGGGGATTTTAGCTGCAAACCAACCACAGAATCTTAGGCACTTCGGTGGAAAGAGTATCTGTTTACTCCCCCTTTGGTCATCTCTATCTCCTGGACATGTGGTGCATGGCTCATATGTGTATAATATTATATATATATATAGATAGTTACATATGTATATACACACATACACTATATGTATATATATATATATCACATATATATATGCATATATATATATATGCATATATATATATATATGCATATATATATGCATACATACATACATACATACATACATACATACATACATACATACATACATACATACATACATACATACATACATACATACATACATACATACATACATACATACATACTACATACATACATACATACATACATACATACATACATACATACATACATACATACATACATACATACATACATACATACATACATACATACATACATATAATATATATATCATACAGTATGTATACATATATGATCAACGTCTAGTAAAACCATCAAACCCAGGCTACCCATCGCTCCTGTCACCAAGCTGTGAGGCCGCCTTCAATGCCACGCAGCGATTGCTGTCGGGCGGTCTCATCCTTGCAGGCAGAGCTGGTTGGTGGGGCCCTGGCGTTTTTTTTTTCACCACCAGTTTAAAGGATAGTTAACTAATATGGATGTGGGTCAAAATGGAAGACCTAGGGGACCACAGATGTTAGTCTAGTTTAGTATTAACCATCCATAATTTTGGGGTACCTAATTTTGACCCATACCCATATAACTGTATAATACTCCAATGATTAATACTCCAATATAATCATTAATCATTCACCAACAGTTTTTTTTAAAGGATAGTATTAATCATTGGAGAATGGCTGGTTGAGATGTGGAATATATATGAATATATGCCTGGTTGGTGGTTTCAAACATGACTTTTATTTTCCATTTCATATATGGGAATAATAATCCTTCCCATTGACGAAATCATATTTTTCAGATGGGTAGGTCAACCACCAACCAGAAGCAACCAGATCCACCATTTCTGGGTGTGATTGAAACCATCTTTCTGGGTGGTTTATGTGGGTTTATGACATTGCGCCATGCCAATATCGTGGCGTGGAAAAGGGCTCTTCATGGCGTCCACAGCCCCTGTTTCAACATGGTGTCCATCTGCAAGCAACGTCTATCTGGGTAAATTTCATCACGACCTCACTGTTCTCCCGAACCCTGGGAATCATGGTTAATAAGAGAAATCATCACAAAATGGCTGAACTATTCAGGTTAGTGACATATTATAATTTACCCAGAACTATGCCTGGCAGATTGATGCCAATCATGTTGGGTTGTTGCCTTGTCTGGTGTTTCATAATTGAAAATCATGTTACAGATTCCCTAGGTGGCATCATGTTTCATCAATTGGAAATCACCAATGTTCTAAAGCAATTGGAAATAATGTTAGAGATTCCATAAAATTATTCCAAGCTTTACATTTTACAAATTGTATGTCTGTTCGCTGTTCGCAATGTCATCAACCAGTCATGTTTACAGATCTTGGTGAAAGGTAACTTGAATCATAACTATTCATATTCGTAAAGGTCATGAACCACCCATATGATGGTTTCATATGGTTTCAATCCCATCAAAATGGTTGGCAATGGTGGATTGCTTTACGACAATTACCCCCGGAACGGTCATTCAGAGAGGTCATGACCGCTCGGACGGCGGCTTGCTGACCGCTGTGTCCGGAGGACCCAGGATGGCTTCGGTGACACCGCAAACCTGGGTTATATGATAATAATTGATATAATGATTTGCGGGTAAAATATATATGGGATATTATAAATATTAGCATTTCCTAATGGGATTATTATGGTATTATTAACACCATTAGGATGGCTTTCTTGATACCCAGGAAATGGTGTTGGTATCATATTATGGGATTCTGGTGAAATGGTATCATACCATATAATAATCCAGGTATCATTAGGTGTCTCCATGTATTTATATAATCATCATATCATCATCATATAATCCTAATGATTCTATAATAGCCATTGTTGATATAATTATAACTAAGCAGCAAATCAAAGGAATTAGTGGACAGCAATCATTATCATTGTTGATATAGTTGTTTTTGTTAATTATATAATCGTTCATGAATTATTGATGGGTTTATCAGCAACAATGGAATACCACCCAACAATAATTTGATGAAGCAACAAAGATATCTGGAGATAACATGGGATACAATGGGGTATGATGAGATACACAGCCAGCCTGGATTTGCTGAAGATTTCTTTCTTTTCCCTGAGAAGTCCAATCTTTGGCGAATCTATAGGGAATGTTTTTTTTTGCTCATCGCATAACTATGGAAAATGGTCCATTTATAGAGGATAAAAATGATGATTTACCTATCCAAAATGGTGATTTTCCAGTTCGCTACCTTAAATAACCAAACGGTATAAGGAATACTTTTTTTTGTGAATCTATAGATAACTTTTTTTTCCAAGAAACCTCATGTTTTTCACCATTTTTGATGGATTTGATCATCCCAAAATGAAGCTCATCTTGAGCCATAGCAGCTCCGTTTGAGGCTGGGTTTTCATGGCTTCACCTGTTGTGATTCGCAATGGGACATCCACTTGGGGGAATCGATAGGGAATATGTCTCATTTTTATTCCCTATCGATGAGAATATATAAAATCTTTGATTCCCTACTGGGACATCATCTTTTGTGGGCTCCTGGATTGCAAATCCAAGTTATAAATGGAATTCGCCTAGGAATCCTCAAAGACGTGCTACCCAAGGATTCATCCCACATGGTCCCCTTCTTCCTCTGGTACCCGCTGGTTGCTGGAAAATCCACCATTGAAAATCATGATCAATGGGAATTTCAGGATCCTAAAATGGAGGTACTGTACCATATAAGGCCATATTTCCTGGGGATATTCCCTTACATAGGCCTGAAAAATAGGCCTTATATATGGTAGGTACCTCCAATCAATCGGTTCCTGAAATGGCCAGTGACATGATAAAAAAAATATACTTTCGAATAAAACAAAGGATTCTCCAGCAGGGTTTGATTGCCAGAGGGTTTTTGTAACAATGTATCGTTGATGTGGCGTACCAGGTAGCCTTTGGTAACCAAACGTGGCTGATAACGGAGGCCATTTCCCATAGCTATCTTAAATAATCAGAGGGAATATTCAATGGCCATTTCAGGAACCTAAATTGGAGGTACCTACCATATATAAGGCCTATATAAGGCCTATGTAAGGGGGTATCCCCACAAAATATGGCCAGAAATATGGTACTAACGTACCTCCATTTTAGGATCCTGAAATTCCCATTGAAATATCCCATTAAATCCCATGAAAGATCCCATTAAATCCCATCGAGTCACCGTAAAAACCCATTAAACCCATGAAGTCACCATAAAATTTCGGCTTTCATCCAACATTCAGAGGGGTTTTCATAGGTTGGAGATGGCCTTCGCCGGCCGCGTGGGCGTGGAGCTGAAATTGGACGATGCCAGTCCCGGACTCCCAGTGCCCAGGGGGAGCAAAATCTGGTGCTTTTCATACAGAAAAAGGTTGTTTTATGGTGACTTAATGAGATTTAATGAGATCTTTCATGGGTTTTCATGGGATATTCCCTCTGGTAATTTAAGTTATTCAGTTTGCGACCTTGAAAATAGCCTATGTTGCTTTTCCATAGCTATGTTTGTTTACCAGAGGGGAGTTTGAAGCGGCAACATGTGATTTTTCTGGCACATGGAGATTTTCCTCGGAAAAAAACAACGGTGCATTTCACTGGAAACTAATGGGATTTCGGTAGAAGTTGACGGCCAAAGGTGAAATTGTGCGCTGCTCATCATGCTTCGCCCATCATCCTTGTTTGTTGTTCCCGTCAGCATTTCTGCATTTCTAATCTTTAACTTTTTTTTAAAAAAATCCTTGATACGCCAAGTATGGCTTTGTCATACTCCCAAATCTCATACTGGGTTCCTGCTCAGATGGCCATTTCTGTTGGTTCTAAACCGTGGGAGAAAGCGGAGAAAACCAGGTCTCTAAACCTGGAGGTTTCCGGCAAGTCATAGGGTTACCACCTGAAAAATCACTTTAATCATCGATTTTTGATGGGTTTTCCATGAAATAGGCCATCCTTTCAACTTTGGTTGTGGGAAATCATGGCCACTCCAATGGGCCCATGAGGGCCATGCTGGAAGGTGTCATATCATCAGCCAAGTGGTAAGTGGATACCCCCGTTTCACGACTTCGGAAAGCCCCTTCGGAAGGTCCTGGCAGCTACATGGAGAAACTCTTCAACGAGGCACCTGGACTCGTCTATGAGGCGCAGAAAAGGTGTTTTTTGTGTGGGTTTTTGGCGTTCAGAAAAGGTGGAAAGGATGGATTGGATCCATCTATGAGGATTTTCCCGATATTTGATGGTCAACATGCAGGGACTCGATGTAGATCTTCCCAAGCCACGAAGCCACAAAGCCACGAAGACACGCTGCGATTGCCGAGATGTACCAGCGGAGAACCAGAATTGCCCACCTCTGGATGGGCCATCCCAGCTGAATCTCCCACATTTCTGGGTAAACTATAACGACCTCACTGCGACCTCACTGGAATCATGGTTAGTAAGGGAAATCATCCCCAAATGGCCCCGCAAGAAGTTGGTGGCCTTATTTCAGGTTAGCGAATTATTATACTGAATTTACCCAGATATTTTGGCGGTGATAAATCAGAACATCTGTGCTGAAACGCTCGCCGGGAACGAACCGAACAAGAATGGCCCTGATGATCTGAAGATTAGGCCATTAGATACCACTGATACCAGTCCTCACAGTAAACAGCCATGGAATGGGGGTGCTAAATCCACCTTCTGGACAAACTCGGAAGCAGTTGAAACTGCCAAGCAATTGATCGTTGGTAGATGTTCAAAGGTTTACGCCCAAAAAGGAATCGACATGAAGCAAATGGAGGTACGCAGAATTACCTACAGTTGATGTATGAAAATGAATCAACATGGCCTATGCAGACTGTGATATTTATTCTGGTTGGTGGGTTGGAACATGAATTTCATGACTTTCCATTCAGTTGGGAATGTCATAATCCCAGCTGACTTTCACTCATTTTTCAGAGGGGTGGGGCTCAACCACCAACCAGCTATATGTCAGTAACTAAGTATGATAATCAATGGGATGATAAGCACCATATTAAATCATATTAAACCATATTAAACCATATTAAACCATATTAAACCATATTAAACCCATACAATCACCATGAATATTTCGGGTAGGTCAACCACCCACCAGCTGCTGGAAAACTTCCATTCTCCAAGCATTGATGCCCAAGATGCCCAAGCTTCCATCCGCACCATTGGTTGGAAAACCGGGTAACCATGGAGGTTTTAATGGGAAAACCATAGGAAAACCACAGGAAAATGGAGGTTTACCCTCTGGCGAACGTTTACATAACTATGGAAAGATCCACCCATTTTTAATGGGAAAACTCACTATAAATATCTATAAATTGCCATTTTCAATAGCAAACTGTTAGTTTACCAGAGGGTACCCCTCGTTGATGAAAGCCTCCAGTTATGTTTGTTGCTTTATCCGCCCTAAATAAAACATCCATTTTTTTGTTTCGATATATCTGCCATAAAGCCAATTGTTAAGCTAGTGAAACTAACCAACTTAGCTATCTACAAAGGGGACATATGGCTATGGCCCAATACCTTCAATAAAATTCACATACCATTTGGGGCGATGACCATCCATTTACCAGCTATTTGGACATTCAATATATATATATATATATGAAGATGATTTGGAGTACTAGTTACTAGTTACCATCAATATTTATCAGCTAGGGATCATTATAATGATGATATGTTTGACTAAGACATTGGGATAATGACAATGACTCCTAATGGTGATATTTAGATAACTTGAAACTATGATATGATCATTATGGTTATCCCACCATTCCAGCCCTATTATAATTATAACGGTAATAGGGATAAGGTATTCGATGGGAAGCGGTCAAATTCCACACTGGAATCCAAAATTTCATGGGATATCCCAATATTTTTTCATCTATCCCAATCACCGAAGTATTAAATCCAGAAAATCATCACAAAACTATATTTTTATTGTGATATGATCATTTCTGGTGTTTGGATCCATCGGGAATGGCAAGTTTGAAGATGTCACCAGTTTTTTCACTGGTGCTTTGGAACATTTGGATTATATTTTCCATATATTGGGAATAATAGTCCCAACTGACTTTCATATTTTTCAGAGGGGTAGGTTGAAACCACCAACCAGATATTAATATTGTGATGATATGATCATATGGTTATTAATCACTATTAACCATTATCATAACCATTATTAACCATTATTAACCAATATAACCCACTAAACATGATTAACCATGATTAGTACAATGTGAGGCCCCCCAGTTATAAGTTGGTTTATAAGCCCCAGTAACTATAGTTATCAGTACCATAAACCATAGTTATTGGAGTTATGTGCACCAACTTAGCTATCTTGGGGGCCTCACATTGTAGTTAGTGATAATTCAATTATGGTTATCCCAATACGGAGGTTTCCTGAAATAGGGGGACCCCTAAATCATAATTTTTGGTTGGGATTTTCCATGAAATAAACCATCCAGCTATTGGGGTACCCCCATGACTATGGAAACCTCTATATTAGACCAGTGATTGATCAATACTAGATTGCCACTAGTAACTATAATAATCCATATAATGATAACTATACTGTACTAGTTCTAAGTGATATGATATTTGATAGCCCGTGCTCCCCCCATTTAAGATAATAAAATCCTAGCACCCAAGTTGCACCCTCCAATTCACAGGGGGATGATCAAACTATATAATCCCAATAAAACTACCCTCTGGTTATTTAACATAGCCATGGTATAGATGGCTTATTTATAGATGGTTTACCTATTAAAAATGGTGGATTTTCCATGGCTATGCAACAAATAACCAAATGGAATTAATTCCATGAAAGATCCCATTAAATCCTTTTCTTCGTCACCATAAACTCCAATAAAATCCCATTAAGATCATCATAGATCATCATAGTAACTAAAAATAATCCATATACAGTAATGATCACTATAAAGTATTTATTTTTTTGGTTATTATTAATAGTGATATATGATAGTTATGATAATCCCAATAAATCTAGACAACTAAAAATAAACCCAATAAACCCAATAAAGTGTATATCCCAATGTATTATATAATACATAAAACCCAATAAACCCAACAATTGAGATATTATGATACCAATAATATTATATTGTAATTTGATATATTGGTATACTATGATACCATAATTGGTATTATAATACATATACATATAATATTATATTTGACATTATTTGATGATCCCAATAAACCCTCACTGACGCGACACGGCTAAAAATCGCAGGTGCGCCGTAGCGACCTGGCTGCGGTGCTTCGCGTCTTCGAGGGCGAAGGTGTGCCGGAATGGGGGAGAAAAGCAAGGAAGACCTAGGGAAAATGTAGGAAAACCATAGGAAAATCTAGGAACATGTAGGGAAAACGTAGGAAACCCATAGTTCATTCATGTCGCATCAGTGATTTATACTTGATCTATGTTGGCACAAGTTGTTTTTTTTGTTTTTTTCCACTAGATTAAGCATGATGATTGTGTTCATCATGATGTTCATTGTTATCATTGCAATGAATCTTATTAACTATGAATCTTCAATGATCAAGAGGATTATTGAGAAAATCACCATCGTCACCATCAGCAATTGATTAGCAGCCATTAGCAATTCATTGTCAACTCTCAGTGATTATTCCCCACCTGCCAGGTGAGGGTCTCTAGATTTTAAAGCCTGGACCCGAACTCCATATCGCCAGCTCCAGATGCTGTGGGCCACGCCTGGACCCAAACACATGCCAAAGAGAATGCCGGACACAATGCTAGAAAGAATGTCAGAACATGTGTTAGATAGAATGCCAGAAAGAATGCCAGAAAGAATGTCAGAACATACGTCAGAATGGATGCCAGATAGAATGTCAAAATAATATGCCAGTGTGGGGATCACTCGAAATAAAGTAACGGTTTCCTTTTTTTATCACTACCCTTCGGCAATCAAACGTGGCTTGAAGGAAAATCTGCGTAAATCCCCAAACGATGGCCAAGTGGGTTTGGTGTATATCACAGTAGTTCATGGAGTGAATCTGAACCAACAAACGTAACTGCAGGGTGGTGCCCCATAGTTAGCAAAGTTGGTTTATAAGTCCAATAACCATGTTTTATAGGTGATATATCTATAGTTATATAATTAATGGGATTATAACCAATTTTTAACTGGGGAGCGCACAATCCTTGTAGATTATAAGAGGTTGCTAGCGAAGGACGCGGACTGTTTCCAGCCTATTCGGAGAATGATCGAATCCCTTGATCACATGAAATACCTGTCCTCGTCGAATGCCAACCCCCGATCAATGAACCATGTTTTATGGAAAAATGGGGGTACTCTCCGCAGGATGGTGCCCCCAATTATGTTTGTTGGTTTATAAACCCTATTAACTATAGTTATATCTACCAGAAACCATAGTTAAACCACTTATAAGGCAACTTAGCAATCTTGGGGGCCCCAGCCTGCAGATAGTAATTTCATATGATGCTTTTTATTGGTACCCCTCCAATGAAACAGCCGTTCGGGGTTTATTAATCCAGGGTTGACACTAGTATGTAGTCCCCTCCATTGCAAGAGGATGGATTCATTATATATCAATTCTCATTGATTGTGATTATATGATATACATCTATAGTGTATATTAGTTTTATCACCACCTACAATTATTATGATAAATCCATAAACTACCATTATCGTAATGGATATCATACGGTATACATACTGTCTGCTGATAAATCCAACAATTGTACTGGTGATGAATCTATAGATATTATCTGGTTGGTGGTTTGGAACATTTTTTATTTTCCATAATATATGGGATGTCATGCTTCCCATTGCCGAACTCATATTTTTCAAGATGGTTATTGCACCACCAACTAGTTATGATATACTAACATTCTCACCAACTATCTTCCACTTTTCCCACCCGAAAATTCCGACCCGCCCTGGGCAGACGCGAAACTCCCAGGTGTGGCGGTGCAGGAAATTGGTGCCACACGGAAAGACCTCCGGGCAGTTCGGGGCCCCGACGGATGATCTATGATGATCTTAATGGGATTTTATGGGAGTTTATGGTGACTTAATGGGAGTTTATGGGATCTAATGGAATTAAGACCATCTGGTTATTTAACATAGCAAACCGGAGAATCACCATGAAAATAATAGGTAAATCATCATTTTTATATATGTTTATCATCTATAAACGGGCCATTTTCCATGGCTATGTTAAATAACCAGAGAAACTTATAGAGGAATTATAGATGTGGTTATGATGAAATAGATGAATTATAGAGAACATTGACCATTATGTTTTTTTTAGTTGTTTTAATGAATCATTGTGGAGGAACTACCGCGAGAAAATTTGATGTGGTAAATCCAACGTGAGAAAATTCACCTCCAATTTTGGATAATAGCAAGAATTTCGCGCAGATTTTTTTCGGCTGTTTACTACTGTATTGGGTTTATGCAGTTTACCACATTCGAGAAGAGTTGAACCACCACTCAGAAGTGTTTGTTTGATTTATGAAGGGCAAAAAAAGACAGGGTCCGAGACGACTGGTGGAGCCTATCTGGATGAATTGTAGCCGTAGATCTTTCCTCTTAGGGATGAGGCCCAGTTGAAGGTTTCCAATTGATTTAGGGTACTTCCAAGTCTTCCAGGCTTTCAATCACTTTTGCATCGATTTTTTTTTGGTGACTTGGGGATCTACTATTTTAAGAAACTAACATGAAAATGAATGTTCAACGAAGCCATGGTACCCCCAAATCACATGGTGACCATGGTGTGAATCAGGTTTCTTTTGACCCCTGCTATTTTGAGGTGTCTTCGTTTATGGACAAACCCTTTTTCTAAGCCATGGAATCGGTATTTTAAGCCAGTGACAACCCCATCCAGCAGACTTGGATTGAGCGTTTTAAACGCAGTAAACACTTGGGAAATGTGGAAATGGCTGTATCTTGACCTTGGAGGAACCAGGAGAAACAGTTGCTTGCAGAAGTGGATTATGGGGATCCGTCATTTTGAACGGAATCATCAACGCAGACAACGAGATAGTGAGGACCACCAAATCGAAAGTTTCCAACCCGTTGATGATTTATGGGAGGACTCTCAGCAACCAATGAATTTGTCTCAAAAAACTATGGATCATCAATTTTACCCCGTGAATTTCAATCCCCAAACAGAGTCAGAACAGGTTCAATATTCACATATATTCACCATGATGTTAGTAGCATGTTACCAACTTCTATCTTTTTTGGGGTTGCAAAAAAACTTACTGGTGCTTAGTAGGGAATGGATGGGAACGGGGGAATGGGATTATTATTAATAGTTATTGTGGATCATTCCCTCATTCCCTACTAAGCACCAGTAAGAAAAACCTAGACCCTCATTAACCGAATTATTAACCATCATTAACCATTAACAATTATCAACCATTAGGTTCCCAAAAAAAACAAGAACCCCATTAGTAACAATTGTTTTTATCAACCATTAACCATTAATTAACCATCATTAACCATTATTAACCATCATCAACCATTAGCATTCTTGGACAAAGCCACGTCACTATTTGCATCTCCCGGCTGAGGTGGTGCATGTGGGCAAGGAGTGTGTCCTGGACGGTGATGTCGCAGCGCTGCACTGCATCTGGGAGGTACCGAAAAAATCCACTCAGGGCCTTGGGCCCTTGGGGTTACGGGATTTTTCGGAGGATTTTTGAGGGGCTTTCATGGATTTTAACGGGATTTCAGGTTTTTTTGGGGGGGTAGATGTGGGATTTTATGGGATATGATGGATTTAACATGATTTAACCATGCAACATGGGATGAAATTGTGATTTAACCAACAACTAACAGTGGTAATTCATGGAGATATAGTGAGATATTTTTCGGCCATACATCTTGTGACCTCACATCGCGGCGTTTTATTTTGCCATCCCTTTTTGAAGGGCCAACACTGCACATACCACCCTGCGCATGAGTTTTTTTTTCCGCCTCTAGGGTGTTTTTTTCCCTTGTGCCCTGGGGAGAGGTTGCAGTCAGGATGGCATATTGCACAGCTTTGATCATCCAGAGCCACCTTAGCAAGTGATATCTGGAATTAAACCTGCCCTGCAGGTTAGTGAATTTCAAATTTATCCAGAAGCATGGTTTACCCTCCGGTAATCAAACATGGCAATGGAAACTCTCTATAAATTGGATATTTTCATGGGAAAATCCATGAAGATCATCGAACTAAAAGGGGGGATTTTCCATTGCCACCTTTGATTACCGGATGGTATTCGAAATCCCGAAATCTCATGAAATCTCCATCTTTGTGGCTTCGAAGCTGAGTCTTCATGGTGAAATAAATCATGAAATATTTCTGAAATATCACCATCTTGAGTCCTGCGAACATTTGGCTGCAATGAACATTTCGCCTCCAAATCGGGAAAATCACATCTGGTTCAACCTTGGATATATGATATATATATACATATTTATGGCATCCACGATTGGCAGTGCTCAAAGGCTTCAACGACAACTGGATTTAATTCGGTCATGGATTTAATTTCATTCTATATTCTTTGACCAGAAACCAGTCATCCTCTGCCAAATCTAACATAGCAATGGAAATGGCCTGTTCGTAGATGATTACCAGAGGGCAAGTCCTTCAGGTCATTTCCATTACATCCCATGAAATCCTAATAAATCCCACTAAATCGCCTAATAAATCCCCATTGAATCCTACTCATTTCCCCTATGTTTTGTTGCAAAAAAACTTATGACCAGCCGGAAAATTCCATGGCCGTTGTTCAGTCGGCAGGCCACATCCTTCCAGCTGGAACGTCAGCAGTGCGACGTGCCCTGCGCACCCCGGATGGTGTGATTTTTTTCCCATTTTTTTTTGGTGTCCCCTCCAGTAAACTATGGTATATAGGGAAAATGATCATATTTGTGCTGAGATATTTTATTCATGATAATTGGATAGTATATAGATAATTATGGTATATTTTGGTATATAATTATCTGCTTGGTGGTTTGGAACACGATTTTCATTTTTCCATATATAGGGAATAATCATCCCAACTGACCAATATTTTTCAGAGGGGTTGAAACCACCAACCAGCATAGCTATGGAACATTCAATAGAAATGGTGATTCATGGGATCTAGTGGGATAGGATCTAATGGGATTCAATAATTAACATAGGTGCTTTAATGGGAATTTATGGTGACTCAATAGACATGTTCATAGGATCTAATCGGATTTACTGGGTGATCTAATCTAATGGTGGTAAAATAATGCCATAAACCAACCATTTGGGAATGGTAACCATACCACATAAAAATAGTGATTTTATGTTGACTTATATAATGTCATGGGATTTAATGGGATTTACACGTTGGTAAACATACCAAAAAACGATGGAAAATCACCATGTTTAATGGGTAAATCAAGTGATAAATGTTAAATTACCGGAGGGAAATCTAATCTAAGGATTTTAGTAGGGTAATCTAAGGAGATCTAAGGCTTTTAGTATGTAGTTTGTAGTATCTTGAGATTTCACACCAAATCATAATTGATGATCATTGGATTTAGGGCTACCCGGCTACCTATTCATTCTCGAAAAAGGCGGGCATCCGAACCACCATCTAATGATGTTCGATGGGAAATACAGTATAGAATATATATTTATTATATAGTCCCATTATATTCCCATTGTATTCCCTTATAAATGAAGTATTCATGGGGGGTTGTAGTGTCCTTCCATCCTATAGAAGCCACTGAATATGGTGGGTTGGGATTTTAGGCATCAAAATTGTCCAAGCGAATCGTTGGGGTACACCCCCAATGGACCATCTCTAAGTGGGAAAAGTGATGATCAACAATTGGGATCCAAAAGCGATTTAGAAACTATCTGAATCGCCGAATTTTTGGGGGTTGGGGGTACCATGGGGTAGCAGATCTTTAGGTTCTTGGCATGATTCTACGGGATGGGTGTGTTCTAATGGGATATCGGAGGAGTTTTACCACCCACTTCTATCTTTCCGGCTAGTCATGGGGATACCCCCCAAATCATCCAAGTCGTGGACGGATGACCATGACTGAGTATTGAACTCCATGGGGCCATGGGCGCTTTAAGAACCCACCATATTTCGATGCACCCGTGATGGGAACCTCTATAACTAAACGAGCCAGTTTCTCATGGGACTATGCCAAAGCATCTAAGCGAGGTCAGGATCCTAAATCACCTGTTTTTGCTTGGTCAATTCCAATTGTTTCGTGGTACAACCTCCATTTTTGTTGGTTACTTTCCTGTATACAATCTGAAATAGATCTGGAACATCTTCGCCATTTGTAGATCGTTTTCCAAGAGAAACCATACTCCATCAGCGTCCCAAAAAGTTTTGCTTCGTCACTGACGAATTTGGTTTCCCGACTGCGCGGTGTCGTTGTTTTGTCGTCACCGCAGCGGATGCATTGACTTTCATGTTTGGGGGTATTTTTTTTCCACATCTATGTAAACGTCTATCCCAGGGTAAATCATGTGAACTCCCCCGGTGCTGGTGAAACGCCTTGAGGTTGAGCAAGAAGAGGCTGGTTTCAAGAACAGGCCTGACGCCTGGGTATATCAACTAGGGATGAACAAATGAGGATTTCGTTAGATATGCTGGATTTCACCATGCAAAATGGGATGATTTCACCATGAATTATACGAAATGGTGAGATTGAAACATAAGGGTTTAACCAACTTAGCAACTTTGGGACTTAACCAAACAACATTTTAGATGAATGAGGATTTAATCATCAAACATGAGGGCTTACCCTCTGGTAAACGTTTACAGAACTATGGAAAATCACCATTTTCATTCGGAAAATCCACTATGAATGGCAATTTTCAATAGCTATGTTAGTTTACCAGAGGGTAATCTGATTTAACCAACAAGAAATGGTGTAGGTCATGGGGAGATGGTGCTTTCATCTACGTTTTTTCCATCCAACGGTGGTCCCGAGCAGAGAAAATTCTGAGTTGACACCACAACCATCACTGCAAAACATCAACTTGAGGGATTTCCCATGACATTCCCGTTTTCGGAGAAATCCCATGGGATTTTTTTGGGGACCCCTTTGGCTGATGGGACCCCATTCCCATAATCTTCCCATATGGGAATGGAAGTCCATAAGGATCCCGAAAAAAAAAAAAAACACTTTCTTCAAACCTCTAAAATCCCATGAAAATCTGAGCCTCCAGTCACAAATTCATGCAACATCACACGTCTTAGATTAGTCTTTTTCTAGGTAAATCATCGAACTAAATCATCTATAAATGAGCCATTTATCTACCAATGAGTCATTTTAATTCACTTTACATAGCAAACTCATTAAATCATCTGTAAATCATCTATAATTTATCTATACTATAAATAATCTATAAATGACTCTTAGTTGACTGGAGGGTAGCCGGTAGCCTTGGCATCCAAATATCTTCAACCCAGGCGGGTGCTGCCCTACAAGCTGACGTATACCCCCGAGCCCACAGCTGATGCTGTGCTCAACAGTGGCAGGCGCGGACTAGACTCAAGCCCCAAGTTTAGAATTCACATGAATTAGCAATAATGTCTGATCTATGGTCAACAATGGTCAACTATATATATATATATAGACATACTATATATATATAGACATAATATATATACATATACATATATATATATACATAATATGTATATATATATAGACATAATATATATATATATACATACTGTATATATATATATATTATGTATATATATACATAATATATATAGACAATATAGATATAGGCAATATATATATATATGACATAATTTATATATATACATACTGTATATATATATATATTATGTATATATACATACTGTATATATATATTATGTATATATATATATATACATAATATATATAGACAATATAGATATAGGCAATATATATATATATATATGACATAATATATATATATATATATATATACATAATATATATATATAGACATACTATATATATAGACATACTATATATATATAGACATAATATATATAACTATATATCTAGACATTATATATATATAATTATACATATATAGACATAATATATATATATATACACATAATATATATAGACATAATATATATATATATACATACTATATATATATAGACATAGACATAATATATATATATATAGACAATATATATATATAGACATAATATATATAGACATGATTTTTATGTATATACATAATATATATATATAGACATAATATATATATAGACATAATATATATATATCTATATATATAGACATAATATATATATATAGACATACTATATATATATATATAGACATACTATATATATATAGACATAATATATATAGACATGATATATATATATATAGACATAATGTATATATATATATATAGACATAATATATATAGACATAATATATATATAGACATAGTATATATATATAGACATTATATATATACACACATACTATATATATATAGACATTATATATATATAGACAGAATATATATATATATAGACATAATATATATGTAGACATGCTTTTTATATATAGACATAATATATATATAGACATAATATATATAGACATAATATATATATATACATAATATATATATATAGACATAATATATATAGACAATAATATATATATATATATATCGACTTGATATACATATATATATATATATATTTAGACATAATGTATATATATATAGACTTAATATATATAGACATAATATATATATATATAGACATAATATATATATATAGACATAATATATATATATACATAATATATATATATAGACATAATATATATATAGACATAATATATATATATATACATAATATATATATATACACATATATATATATACACATATATATATATTATATGTACATATAATTGTCTTTTACAATGATTTTGAGTTCCATACCGAATGCTACGACATTTCTTTTGGGTTTAATTTTCACATCGCTTGAAAGGGACCCATTTTGGCTAACCTTGTCAGCTCGTGGTGTCAAAATAAGCTGGTGCAATTCTGTTGGATCCCGGTCCACCAGTACAGTAGTCATTATCCTTGGAATCATTTATGCTTGGAATCATTGTTTATTATCCTTCACTATCCCTAATTATTCTATATAGTCTATATCTTATTCTTGTTTTTCACCATCCCTAAGCCAATTGTGAAAATCCCCAATGATTTTTGAAGATTTTTTTTTCAGTTATGCTTAAAATCCCTAATCATCCTTAATAATCCCATTCATTGTACCAATCGAGTTCTTGCTATTGGGGGGATAGGATCTCCGATGATATTCCTATTGAAACGACCAAATTTAGTTCGGGGATTTTCCAGCGGCCTCCCATGTTTTAGTTATCTGATTATAAAAAAAATCCCATTGAAACCACTAATCCCATAAAAAACATGTTTGTTGATGGTCAAACCTCTATTTCCCCTGGTTTCCGCTTCTAATGATATCATTGATATTACCATGAAATGAGATTGCCTCACCAGGAAGCATCGTGTGGCCATCGTTGGCAGCTCAGAAGACTAGAGGATGACGGTGGCCATCTATGGAGGTTTCCTAAAGTGCTGGATATACTCAGTCATGGTCGTCCATGACGACTGGATGATTTGGGGCTAATTTGGGGCTACAACGAAACGGACACCTCCATATGTTTGTCATGAGATGTGGCTATACAGGCTATACATCAAAAACATTCCAGATTCAGGGTATCAAATTAGATTGACGAAGATCGTGGTTAGCTTTGGTGATAATGATGTTGATGATGATGATGATGGTAGTGGTGGTGATGATGGCGATGAAGGTGCTGGTGATGGTGGTGATATGTCGAATCCCTTCTTGATGCTCCTCTTCCTTAACTTTTGCATCTCGGGGGCAGCATTGGCCAACTGAATCAGTTTACTCTCCGGGACATCCCCAAACTAAATGAGGGTAAACCAGACTCGCAGGGAATGACGCATAAATACGAGAGTTTCCCATGGAAACATCAATGATTTTTGTCCCTATGTCATTGAATCTGATGGGAGTTCCATCAGTTCAAGACAAGAACTGGCTCATACCCGCGATCCAGAGTGACAAAGAACATGATTTTTGTGAACACCGCGGGTATGATCCAGAATTTTCACTGAATGCATCCCAACATGTTGCTTTCCAGAGCTTAGAACTCAGTAAAAGAAACCGGTTACAATACTCCCACTAATCCCAATCATCGCTTTTATCCTGCTAATCATTCCAAAGAATTATACCATATATAATACCCTTTGGCTATTTGACATAGCCATGGAAAATGGTCCATTTATAGAGGATAAACCATGGATGATTTACCTATCCAAAATGGTGATTTTCCATCATCGTTCCCACAAGTACTTGAGGGCAGTGCATCCCACTTAGTAAATGGATTATACCTCCAGATTTATGTAATATACCCACCTAGATCATATGGGATTTTATGGGTTATGTAATGTTAGATATGGATTATAAACCAATCAATATCCATATATCTATATAGCCCATATTATATAATATCATGTACTCCCATACTATTACTATCGGTAATATAATATCAGGGGTATGTATGGGTAATATAATATCATGTACTCTCATACTATTATCACTATCATCGGGTAACCACTTACTATACCACTTACTATACCACTTACCACTTATGCTTACTATAGTTACACTTATATTTACTATACCACTTATAGTTACTATACTTACACTTATACTTACACTTACTATAGTTATACTTATACTTATATATTTATCATATCATGCACTATTCTTACACAAAAATACTTATACTTACTATAGTTATACAAAAAATATACTTTATATACTACTTAATCTTACTTATAGTTTAAGACTTACTTTTTTCTATATATATATATACACTTACTATAGTTAAACTTATACTTACTATATATATATATACCCTCTGGTAATTTAAAATAGCTATGGAAAATCCATTATAAATGGAGGTTTCTAGCTGGGAAAATCATCTGTTTCGATTAGGTCCATTTTTCCATAGCTATATTAAATCACCAGAGGGTACAAGAATAAACCAACCATTTGGAAATTCAATCACTAACATAGGTGATTTAATGGGATTTTATAATATCTATGTACCATTGTTACCACATAAGCTCCACTGGTGGATCGGTGGATCCACTGGATCATCCCCTGAAATCCCAGGTGCGACAGGAAGGTTCCAACGGTGACAGAGAAATGGCAGTGACTGGGCGCCACGGTGACCGGGTGGAATTTTTACGAAAGAAATAACGAAAAATAACGAAAAATAACGAAAAATAACGATAGATAGATAGATAAGATAGGTATCTAGATATAGATATAGATAGAGATTATGGATATGGCTATGGATATGGGGTATATATATAGATAGATCGATAGATAAGATAAGATATATATATATATAGATACAGACAGATATACTGGTTGGTGGTTTGGAACATGAATTTTATTTTCCCATATATTGGGAATGTCATACACCCAACTGACGAAGTCATATTTTTCAGAGGGGTAGGTCAACCACCAACCAGTATAGATATAGAATTTAATACCCTCTGGTTATTTCACATAGCTATAGAAAATCACCGTTTTTAAGTTCGGTAAACCATCTATTTCTATGGGCCATCTATACCATGGCTATGTCAATAATCAGAGGGTATCCATACAGACAGATATAGATATAGATATGGTTATTAATCACTATTAACCATTATCATAACCATTATTAACCACTATTAACCAATAAAAGCCACTAACCTACTTATTCCAATAATCGACCTTCTATGAAATCTTCACCAATAGATCCCCATTAACCACTATCGATCATTACCATTATAGATATAGATTTCGCTTTGGATTGGTTTGGATTGGCTGGATGGATCTACCCACCGTGGTTCTGTGACGGCTGTGACGTCCCGGACGGCCTTGGTTAGTGAACTGGACTGGACGACTGGCTGTAGAGATGGCTGGATGTTGGACGCTGGGAATGACTTAAATAATATCAATGGGAATTTCAGGATCCTAAAATAGAGGTACGTTAGTACCATATACCAGTAAGGCCATATGAATTGTGGGGACATTCCCTTGCATAGGCCTAAAAAATAGGCCTTATATATGGTAGTACCTCGAATTTAGGTTCCTGAAATTCCCATTGATAATACGAGCAAAATCCGTTGAAAGAACGGTTGCAAGTAGTGCTTGCATGTAGCAATTCATCTTCGTCTTAGTCCATGCAGAGTACCGAAGAAACCGTTTTGTTTTCGAGGCTTCATGTTTGGTGGAACAACTAAAGGTATGGGTTCCAAAATCTGCGACCCCGGTGAACATTTGAAGTATCTGGGGATGTTTTTTTCGCCGACAGAAACGCCGTCCTTAGCACGGCTAGCCGTCCTTAGGCTGCTTTCCACATGGCTGGCTTTGAGGTTGCTGGGATGGAAACAGGATGATCATCTCAGGTGTTGTGGGTGTGGTATTTACATGTATGTACCTTCAGAATCAACCAGAGCTTTCTGGGAAATCCCCTATCAATGGAGTTTTTACAAGGGGAAACTGATCTAAGAATCGGGGATTTTCCAACCAGACATGCTTGATTGCAGGGCAATCGCCGAACACGGTGAATCAGAACCAAGTGAAAACTGATCAGTTTTGGTTTCTTTGCCAGCGGCAGTTTCCACAAGTTGCAGTGACAAAAACAGTCCCATGTCTCCCAAAACCTACAAGCAGATTGCATGGGGATGGGAAAATTTGGGCCTTTTTTGGCATGGGACATTCATCCTGGGTTTGGTGGAAAAATCGATTCCAACAAAGCCAATCCACTCGATATTTCTGGGACTATTTTTGGGGCTCAGCATCGATATTTCTTTGGATTCATCCAAGCATAGCCAAGCTATGGAGAATCAAAAACCACTTTGAATTCCTGATTACTGGGTAAACCTTAGTAGTGAGCAGTTTATTAATACACTGTCATATAAACATATTTATGTACATGTGTGTATATCATATATACATCATTTTATTTGGTATAAATGGGACTATTTATACTAACCAGCTAGAACAAAAATGAATTGCAGAGTATGTAAGGTAAGCCACGCTTGGTAACTGGGGGTTAGTTTCCTCAACGATCAATTGGATGTGATGGTTAGTAGGTTTTTTTCAGGGTTAATCATCCCAAAAAAAAAAGACCTTAGGAAAAACTTGGTGAATGATAATTCAACCAGATCCTGTAGCTATTTCTATCGGAAAAAAATGCCCCACTTGGATGGTTGACCCATATTGTTGCTCTCTTGTTTGTGGAAAAAGCAACCCAAAGCTTCGTAACACCCATTTGACCCAGTAAACCCACCATTTGGGGACGGTTTGAACCACCGATGTTCATATTGGGGATGGTTTATGGCATTGGGTGAATTACACATTATTGGGTCAGCACCCAAGTGTCCATTGTCATATATACGTATATATATATATATATGTATACACAATATTATCATCATTATACAATTATTACCTTCTAGTAATCAAACCGGGGAATTGACAATCCTATAAAAATGGGGTCGTTGATAGGAACATGATCTATACATGTAGATGTTCCATTGCCATGTTTGATTGCCAGAGGCTTTTTATCCATTTTTATTGTGATTCCCCAAGTCATCATTCACCAATTTTTTCATGGTGAATTCCATGACCCATCATTTCTTCATAGAATTGGATGATGGGACAATTTACAGGAAAGCCCTATATTTGATGGTAAAAACCATGGTTTCCGGTTCAGATTTTCCCATCAACCAATCCAGTGACCATGAAATTACCATAACCTGCGGAGGCTTGGGACGTTCACATGACCGACCTGCTGGAGGGTCGCACCTCATTGGAGGCGACCGGATGATGTTTTTTTGGGCGGTTGGTTGATGATTTTATGGTGACTAAATGGGATTTTCCATGGGATTTTATGGTGACTTAATAGGAATTAATAGGATCTGAATGGATTTACTAGGAGATACCCTTTGGTAAACGTTTAGATAACTACGGAAAATCACCATGCTATTAATGGGTAAATCAACTATTTTGATGGCCATTTTTTTAAAAGCTATGTAACTTAAATTGCCAGAGGGTACTTAGTCACGTTTTCTTTTTTAAGAATAGGAATTATCCACTGATATCCACAAAAATATCCTACCATAGTTTGATAGTTGTAGAAGCTATAATTATCAAACTATGGGGCTGTATAAGTGGATATATCTGGGTAAATTATAACGACCTCACTGCGACCTCACTGGAATCATGGTTAGTAAGGGAAATCATCCTCACATGGCCTTATTTCAGGTTAGTGAAATATCATAATTTACCCAGATATATAAGTGGATATATAAGTGGATATTGTTGATAACTACGATGGTTGGTGTTCATTCTTGTTGGATTTAAGCATGACCTCTTTAGGTTTTTAAACATCAACACATGGGAATATAGTTGATAAATTATGCTTGCTTGATGGGTAGTTGATGATTAGTTTGGGGATTATACTATGCAACATATTGGGAAATCCGTTTTCAACCAGTATAAAGGGACGACGTTGTGGGTTTTGAACACTGCTCATGTGGGCTTTCAGCATGAAGAATGGTGATAGAATACTATGAAACATGGGGATGTCATGGCGGTAAATATTTTCTCCCCATCATACTATGGATGGAGGAAATCCTGCAACAGTTAGTAGATGGTTTATCCCATTGTAATCCCATTACTTACAATGTTTTATAGTTCCCAATAGTTACCAACTGGTGTAGGATTTCGCAACCATCCACAGTATTATACCTGGTTGGTCATATTCAAGCATTTTCTATTTTCCATTTCATATATGGGATGTCTTTCTTCCCATTGACTTTCACTCCATCATTTTTCAAGATGGGCACATTGCAGCACCAACCAGGTTACTATTAACCATCATTAACCATATCAAAACCATTAATATTAACCATTATTAACAGTATATTAACCATATAATAACCATATTATTGCACCACCAACCAGATATGTTGGATAAAAAACCAGACCGGATTCCATGTCGCTGAACGACAGCTATGGCAGTTTTGAACCCATCGTCCCTTGCGGGGATGCGGGGGATGCCACCAAAATGATGTGATGATTGGAAAACGGCTATGGCTACTAATGGCTACTTGGCTGTCAACCCTGGATTACCCTCTGGTTATGACTAACATAGTCATGGAAAATCACCATTTTTACTAGGTAAACCATCTATAAATGGACCATTTTCCATGGCTATGTTAGTTTACCAGAGGGTAATAAACCCCTAGCCCGGCTGTTGAATTGGGAGGCTACCACAAAAAAGTATTAGATCATTACTATGAATCCGGGGTTGACATTACAATGGTAGCCCCTGAATTTTCCACAGCAAAGTGGTTTGTTCATCCGTTTGTTTTTTTTTCATTGGGATGTAATAGGAGAATAGGGATATAGTAATGGGGTATATTTATCAGCACATTCAATACTATACCGACCGAAATCATCTTGAACATATTTCACCGTTATATTTATCATTGAAATGACCCTATTTCCATCATATTTATCAGCATATTAACCATCTTAATGTGGGTTTCTGTTGGTTTTGTCCCATTTTGGGCAGGACATTGTCGAAAAGAATGGACTTTCATCATGGGTTTGTCCAAAGATATGGGATATTTTTGGGGGATTAGCCTCTGGTAAATGTTTACATAACGAACTAGAAAATCACAATGCTATTCATGGGTAAATCAACTATTTTGATGGGGTATTTTACTTAGCTTTTTGTATGTTTACCAGAGGGTATGTAACAACCTATAGCCAACCATGTCACAACGTGTGGTTCCGTCATCTCCATAAACTCGCTGTGGAGTGCCATGATCGTAATATATGATCCTCATTTTTTTTTTAAACCCTAGCAATGGAAAATCACCATATGTTTTCATCATTTTCAATAGGTAAATCATCATGAATGAGAAAATACATCATCTATTTATAAATGGGCAATTTGCATCCATTTTCCATAGCTGTTAGTTTACTGGAGGGTATATATGTGTTTGTCTGAGAATGTTGCAACATACAATCGTTGAAAAACCATGGATGATGATCCTCGAAAAATACGGAATAGGAATATGCCTAGGAACAGTATGATGTTCATGGACAACACACATCACCAAAGCATCACTTAAACATTGTTAAGGTCCAATGTTGTTGCTTTCAAACTGGAATGCCTGAGTTCATCAGTTGATCATTTTACAAGTACCAAAGATCGAGCAGTTTTTATGGGCATCCCCGGTATCCTCAAGTTTCAATGTCTCATTTTCAGTTTCGGACTAGAAGAGGCTACAGGATGGTGCCCCCCCAGTGATGTTTGTTGGTTTATAAGTCCATCTAAATATAATCATAAGTATCATACACTATCTGGTTGGTGGTTTCAAACATTTTTTATTTTCCATACTACATGGGATAATTCTTCCCATTGAAGAACTCATATTTTTCAAGATGGCTATTGCACCAGCCAGCTATTGTCATTATAGTTATGAACCAATGGGGGCCCCATCCTGTGCACAGATGGTTTCAGTGCTGGGAATTTCAGCTCCACATGGTCTGGTGCCTTGGTGCCTTGGTGCCTTGCAGCGACTCGGGGGCTCAAAGATAGCGAAGCGGTCGCGCCATGGCGTACGCTCCCCTGCTACCACTGAGCATTGCAGGCCCATCCCGAAAGTGTGGAAAATGACCAGCCAGCCTGGGATGTTATATAATTGCATATTTATATACAACTATATCATATAGAACTACATAATCATAACCATATAGAACTACATATTTATCTCTATATATTTATCTCTATATATTTATCTCTATATATTTATCTCTATATATTTATCTCTATATATTTATCTCTATAATATATTTATCTCTATAGTATATTTATCTCTATGATATATTTATCTCTATAATATATTTATATCTATAATATATTTATCTCTATATACATGTATATATATATATTACATATATATATATTACATATATATATATATATTACATATATATATTACATATATATATATATTACATATATATATTACATATATATATATATATTACACATATATATATATTACATATATATATATATATATATATATATACTAGGTCAATCTTAGATGGGTACTTTAATCCTTTAGTCTTTTGATGTCAATGGGAATATCTACGTTCACCAGCAAAGAATTTGTCATTTTTTGCAGGGTATCTGGCTGATTGGCAATGTATATATATATATAATATGTATCCAATATACATACATATAATATATATAATATATGATAATAATATATATACATACACTGTGAGGCCCCCCAGTTCTAAGTTGGTTTATAAGCCCCAGTAACTAGTTCGTTATAAGTACCATAAACCACAGTTATTGGAGTTATAAACCAACTTAGCTATCTTGGGGGCCTCACATTGTATGTTTGGCTTCTATAACCTCTCATAATATGGATATGTATCCAATATACAATAATATACATACATATAATATATATCATATATGATAATAATAAATATATACATACAATATGTATCCAATATACATATATATATATAGATATCTTCCTTTTGTTGATCAACTCTGCCAGGTGCTCGCCAGACTGGTCCCATCGCCCCGGCGGGCGCCCTTCCGACGGTGCCCGGCCGTGTGCCGCAGATCGGCTTCACGCCGCCCGCGTCGCGGGTGATCCCTGTGCCACAGAACGGATCCAGTGGGAAGGAGCCGAAAAAAACCCGAAAAACTCGGTGCAAAATGAAGGAAACACCATAATTGCCATAGGAAAATATAGGAAAACCATAGGAAACATGTAGGATAATCCAGGAAAATGTAGAACACATTTAGGAAAATCTAGGAAAACCATATGAATATATACAAGAACACCCTAGAACACATGTAGGAAGACCGTAGGAAACATGTCGAACATATCTAGGAAAACCATAGGAAAACATCTCGGTTTTGATCCATGGTTTTTAGTACGTACATCGAACTAGTTTTCCTGGGGTTTACAAAAACCTACAAACAGAACTTGGGGTATTAATTAACAATTCACTGGGAATTAACACCTAGGTAATTACGGTAATTGAAGAATTCACAAAAACAATGGTAGATGGTATGTGTCAAGACTTAGTTGTTAACTTTAAGTTGGTTTGTAATTAACAATTCACCGGGGGTGTTTGCTTAAAGGAAAACGGATTGGCGTTGGAGTTGCGAGTGTTTTACAATTGTTATGATGAGTGTTATGATGATTATGATGATTACTGTATGTGTACTATTCAATTTACTCTCATTATGATCATTATGACTATGATGGTGTTGGTGCTTGGGGAGTTCACTATGAACAAGTAGGGATCTTGAGGATTTATATAGTATTATAGTATGATTTAAACATCAACTACGATAGGGACACCTATTAGCCAACCAGTATACTGGGATGAATCCCATATAGAATCTCATATAGAAACATTCTTGTAGATTCTTATAAACATGATAGTCAAATTCCATTAAACATTTTAAACAATATAGATTCTTCTAAACATTATATATACGTATATATATATATACACAGACATACAAATATACATGGTGGTTCCCTAGAATTTGGGTACCCCAAAATGGATTCTTTACAATGGAAAACCAACATAAAATTGATGACAACTGGGGGTACCCCTAGAATTTTGGTACCCCAAAATGGATTCTTTACAATGGAAAACCAACATAAAATGGATGATAACTTGGGGGTACCCTCATCTCTAGAAACCCTCATACCACGATAGTTTAAAATTCCATTAGACATATGCACACTTATA